GGGAGGTAATTCCTCTTCCCCTTCATCGTTCATCTGGCCCCACTCCCAAAGCGTCCGTGTCCAGGAGCTTGGAAGTCCGAACTCCTCCTCCTCCTCCTCCTCCTCCTCCTCCTCTTCATCGTTCATCTGGCCCTACTCCCAAAGCGTCCGTGGCCAGGAGCTTGGAAGTCCGAACGTGGGTGGGTGCTCCTCCCCTCTTCCCTCTTCCCCGTTCTTCCTCTTCCTCGTCCTCGTCCCTTTCCTTCCTCCACCCTCCTCCCCAATTCTACTTCACCGTCTCCCCCCTCCTCCCCCCCCACCTCCACATCCGTTCTCGTCGTTTGTCCTCATCCATCATCCTCATGTGTTCTCCACCCTGCGACTCCCTACCCTGTGCAGCCGCATGCGTCGCAGTCAGGCGCAGCTCCCAATGGCGGGGCGCGATCCTCGTGAGGGGTGCGCCGAGATGGCATTGTTTGAGTATGTTTTTTATTTTTTGTCAAATCCGCCTGTAGGGGGACACGCCCGACCTCAGTATACTCAGAGGAAAAGGTACCCATACCGCTACCCAACGTCAGTTTCCCCAGTTCGGGGCCTCCTGGGAGGCCCTCGCCGCCATTACTGGATTCGCCACGAAAACTTAGTCCGAACGCACCCCGGAGGAGGGCCGGGGAGCAGCGGTACCGGTCGGTCCCTTGTGATTTCCCCACAGCCCCTCCTCACGCTGAAAGACCGAGAGGGCTCCCAGACCTCTCGCGACAGGTCGGGACAGGTCGCGACCGATCTTGGCATCGGCCGTGATCGGCCGCCGCGACCGTTTTGGAGTGTCGAGCGGCTCGGTCGGAGCGTCGATCGGCAGAATCCGGCATCCGATGATCCGGGGGGGGGTGCGTCGAGCACGGGGGGGTGCGACACATGGGGGGAGGGGGGGGGGCGAGGGTTGTGCACTGCCTGTGCCCTCGGGGGGCCCTGGAAAGGGGCCCCCCCCATCGGGCCAGAGAGGAGCACGAGGGGTGCAGCCAGCCTCCCCCCCTTCCCATTCGAGGCGTTCCAGGAGCAGTCGAGGAAGGAGGTGTTGCCATCTCTTGCGCGGCGGAAGGGAGGCGAAAAAGGTGAGCGGAAGTAAAACGAGGCAGCCTCCGCCGGCGGAAGGGCGGCGGAAGCAAAAAGGGTGCCCCCAGGAGATGAACATGTTTTTGGATCCGGGGCTTCCGAAATCGGCCATCTGTCGCCCCCCCGATGATCAGCGGCCGAAGGGTCGGAACCCAGAAGAAGCCGCCGACGGAACATAAGGAGGAGGAGGCGGAGGAAGAGGAGGAGGAGGAGGAGGAGGAGAAGGAAGGAAGAGGAGAAGGAGAAGGGGAGGAGGAGGAGGAGGAGGAAGGAGGAGGAGGGAGGAGGAGGAGGAGGGTGGAGGAGGAGGATGGAGGGAGGAGGAGGAAGGAGGGAGGATGGAGGAGGGAGGAGCAGGAGAACGGAGGATGGAGGAGAAGGAGGAGGAGGAGGAGGAGGAGGAGGAGGTATAGAGCAGAAGCCGCCGACGGAACAGGTTGGGAGCGTCGGAGGGGTGGGCCTCACGCGCAGCCGATCTGCGCCAGGGCCCCCCCCCTCCCCTCCCCTTTTGCCCCGAGGTCGGGGGCGGCCCGACCGAGCCCCAGCAATCGGGTGTTGCTAAAAGTACCCTTTGGCCCAAGGTGCCCCCAGGATTTCCAAGGAGGCCCCCTTGGCCTCCAAGGCACCCCTCACGAGGCCCAGAGGGCCCCAGGGGCTCCAAGATTCGGCGCAGAGATGGGGGTACCCTGGGCCAGGGGCACCTTTAGCAACCCCCGAAGCAAGCCTTGGAGGGCCCAGTCGACCTGCTTCTCTAGAGCACTCACAGATCGGGCCTAGACCTAAGTCGGGCCTGTCCCTCTACAGGAGGGATAGTCAAAAGGTACTGTGGGGACAATGTTTTGACCGTGTGTTGATTGCCTTTCGTCCAACATCCGCCTGTAGGGGGACATGCCCGACCTAAGCCTAGGCCAAGTACCGTTCTCACGTTTTAGCCACAAGCGTCGACGGACACATTGTTTCCCGTCATGTCTACAGACGCATTCGAGGCGGATACGTGTACTCATAGGCAACGCAGACGCTGCGCTCGTCGCGGTAGAAGATCGGCGAAAGGGTAGATCCGTCTATGACATTGTTTTCTTCTAGAGCAGGTCCTGCAGAGTCGTCCAAGTCAAACGATCCCCCCGTGACGTCCTCCTCGCCTCACCCCAAGACGTATGCACGTATTCGATTGGAGGGAAGCTTCGAAAGCGAGGCGGTCTTCGCGGAAGGTGCTGGTCACGATCTGGGGTCGGCCAGGCCACGGCCGGCGAGGAGCCGAGCAGGCGCGCCCCCGAAGTCTGTAGGGAGCCGCATGTGGCCTATGGCCCATGGGGGGCCTTCCGTGGAGCTCACTGTGGTCCGCAGAGAGCATCCATACACCACCGCCGCCGCTGGCGAGGAGGGCTATCCAGGGCCCCATCGATAGTGG